TGTTATGGAGTGTGGGTATAAAATGATAGAGTTGTATGGTGAGTGGAATGCTGATGTGGCAGTCCATGACACTCTGGTAGAGTGTCATGCCCGGATTATTAGTTTCCTGAATTTCATATTTAGTATTTGCCTAGTAAAAGCCATGTTCTTCTTTTAAGGAGGTCATGGAGTAGTAGGAGAGTGAGTTAGCTTTAGAGGTTGCTTTATTACTAAGTATTGTACTTTTATTAGGAAATTTAGCAGAAAAAGAGATCCGAAATTCTTCTCCCGAGCTTCGGCTATTCTGCTACGCATCCTCCTATTAATTTTACCTGCACTACGAGGAAGAAACAACAAGACCATACTGGAAAAGGGATCACAGAGGAAGGGAATATTTAGTCGTTTAGATTTGTGGGCCTGACTGGTATTGTTGGTATTTTACTAGGTTGGTTTTTGGTCTCTCCTTTTAAATTAGGAAGTCGTATGGGGAAGAGGTAGAGAATTGTCATCGTTGTGATTGTAAGGAGAGAACTAGCCTCTCGAAAGCTAGGCTCATTCAAGTTTCTAATCCCAATTGCTTTCTATTTTCTTTTTGGTTATTGTTTCTGTTGATTATCCAGAGTCCGATCCATAGCAAATTGGTATTTTCAGACTCATGAAACGCACTACGAGTTCCTAGTAATGTCTTTTGGTCTTACAAATGCATCAACCACTTTTCAGTCACTAGTGAATGAGGTATTCCAACTTTTTTGTACGTATTCGTATTAGTTTTCTTTGACGACATTCTGGTGTACTGTAGTAGTGAACAACAACATGTGGAACACTTGACATTGGTAATGCAACAGTTGGCCAGATACCAGTTCTACACTAATCCAAATAAGTGTTAGTTTGGTCGGATTACGGTGGCGTATCTTGGACATGTAAGTTCAGAGGCAGGGATGTCGGTGGGTACATATGTGCGCGAAGGTGCCGGACAATTTCAGGAGGATTTGAAAGGCATTATGGCATTAAGATTTCCAAGGTTTAGCCAAGGATTACTTTTAATTGTGTTGGGAGTTAAACATTTCATGCTAAAGAAAAAGGGCTATGGAGTTAAATAACCCCATTATGTTATCCTTTTGGGGAAAGAATCATTATGCCTCCTCAACCTAGAGTAGGTCTTTGTCAAGATGAGAATACAGTTACCCTTCCACTTCTTTTCATAGAGTTTAGACTGACTCCATGGCACTAGTTAATAGCTATCATAGATCATTCCGGACTGTGATGCGACGGGAAGGAATACTTACATGATGCGCTATTATTTGAGATTCATGCAGCCTTAGATGCTTCAATTGTCGAACCTACCGAGACGAAAGCCAAAGGTGAGTCTAGTAGGTGGATCCCCAGTTCAGTCGGTTGTCCGCCRCTTTTCTTTCCCATGCCGGGTATGCCTCACGAGAAGTAGAAGTGAGATAAAGCTGCAAGGGGGTTGGCTGATATTGATAAGCGAGACTTTGCCTTAGAGATCAATATCAACCTATATTCCTACTAATGTGATCCCCATTACTGATGGATGAAACAAAACTAAGTTTGTTCCCTTTCGTCAAGTAACTCGATTTGGACTTAACTCTGCGTCCACTGGGACTAACAACAAAGGAAATAAAAGCCCTAATCTTCGAGTCAGGAGATACCTAGAGAATAGTGTAGGCTTGGTCAGCCTTTACCTGACCAACTACCTAATACTACTCAGGCTCATCAACTAGAATTTGAAGGGATTATGTCCCCACTACCTGCCCAACAAATAAGAAGGTACATAGTGGGTTTAGTACCCTAGGGCCTCCTTGGTCTTCTTGGACTTGGTTTATGTCTGATTTCACACGGAGCTTGAGGGTGAGGTTCCATCTACGAGTGAGAAAAGGAGAAAATTAGAATTACTTAGGTGATCACGGAACCCTTAGCTGAAGAGGACCACCCTCTAAGCCTAAGTATTCCTCAATGACCGACAAAAACCCAACAGGCATACAACTCATTCTCGATGGATGTGGAGGATGACCATTATAGCCCTTCTTGTAAAGTTATCCGTGCTTAGCATTGGAACCTTGTGGGGTTAGGAGTAAAGCATCCTGTTCATCCTTATTGCCTTGGCTTCGATGATCAACCTTTAAGTTTCCCAACCCCTTTGTCCCCGATCGGGGG